AAATTATTTGTTTGAAAAAATAATAATTATTAAAATATTTTAAAAATATTAGTCGATATTAACAATATAACAGAATAGACCTAAATTTCAATTTATGTAATTATATTGATAATATTTATCAGTTCTTTTTTTTTTTTGATAATCATCCAAAATATAGCATCCTTTTTACTTAAAAAGTGTTTTCAGATCTATACCTGACTGGTTCACAAATGATCCTTTTAGTACTAAAGCTCCTTATGCTTGGAATATGGCCTATTAGGATATGAGGATTATATTTAGATTTTAGTTCCCTAAGTAATAAAGCTATATAAAATTACTTTTTGCAAATTGATTTTGCTAGCATGGTGAGGTATGGAATTATGCTAAAATATCTTTGTAAAGTTAATCTGTTGGTTCTATTGTTTATCCTGTTTTAACATCCCAAAAATAAATAGAAAAAAGATTTTTGTCATCAATATCCTAATCTCCATATCCATCATTGTCACCTGCATCATCATCTTAATAGATATCTTCATATTCATATTCATCTTGATTTTCATCTTCAATTTAATCTTCATTATCATTTTAAGCTTTGGCAGAATTTAATACATAATAAGCTAATATAGCACCATCAGACGAGAAACATAATGATCTTACCTTGGTATTGGTATGGCAATTCACTTTTGCTATATATTGTCCAATCTATAAATCCCATAGAAGAATATTATTATCATAATCACAAGAAGCTAAAGTCTTTCCATCAGGAGAGTAACAGAGTATGTTTAATTCAATAGTTTGACAGTCTAACGTAGTTTTTTATTGTCCTGTTTAAACATCCCATAAATGGATAGAGTTATCAACAGATGCTAAAGTATTTCCATCAGGAGAGAAACAGAGCAAATTTATATAATCAGTATGACCACCATCGAATTTATTTTTTTATTATCCTGTCTTAACATCCCATAAATGAATAGAGTTATCATAATTAACAGATGCTAAAGTATTTTCATCAGGAGAGAAACAGAGCAAATTTATATAATCAGTATGACCACCATCGAATTTATTTTTTTATTATCCTGTTTTAACATCCCATAAACGTAAAGACTAATCAATACTACCAGATGCTAAAGTATTTCCATCAGGAGAGAAACAGACTGACTTAAGACTATTGCTATGACCATCTAATTTATTTTTTTATTGTCCTGTTTAAACATCCCATAAACGGATAGAATTATCACAACTACCAGATGCTAAAGTAATTCCATCAGGAGAGAAACAGAGGGAGTCTAAATAACTAGTATGACCTTCTAATTAATTTTTTTATTATCCTGTCTTAACATCCCATAATAATATAGATTTATAATGACCAGATGCTAAAGTATTTCCATCAACAGAGAAACAGACTGACCTTATGGTACCAGAATGACTATCTATTTTATTTTTTTATTATCCTGTTTTAACATCCCATAAACGTATAGACGCATCATCACTACCAGATGCTACAGTATTTCCATCAGGAGAAAAACAGACTGAGTAAACAGAGCTAGTATGACCATGCAATTCATTTTTATATTATCCTGTCTTAACATCCTACAAAATTATAGTCTTTTCACTACTACTATACGCTAGAGTATTCCAATCAGGAGAAAAACAGATTGAGACTAGTGAACAACCCCGAACATCAAATTTTTTTTTTTATTATCCCGTTTTAACATCCCATAAGAGTATAGAGATATGAAAACCAGAAGCTAAAGTATTACCATCAGGAGAGAAACAGACTGATCTATTGATACCAGTATTAACATCAAATTTATTTTTTTTTTATCCTGTTTTAACATCCCATAAACATATAGAGTCATCACTACCAGATGCTACAGTATTTCCATCAGGAGAGAAACAGACAGAGTTAACATAATCTCTATGACCATCTAATTTATTTTTTTAATATCCTGTCTTAACATCCCATAAGCGTATAGTATTATCCTTACTACCAGATTCAAAAATACTTATAAATTCATCCTTACTTCCTGATGCTAAAGTAATTCCATCAGGAGAGAAACAGACAGAGTTTACATAATCTCTATGACCAACTAATTTAGTTTTTTCTTATCCTGTCTTAACATCCCATAAACGTACAGACTTATCATTACTACCAGATGCTATAGTATTTCCATCAGGAGAGAAACAGATTGAGTTTACATAATTTCTATGACCATTCAATTTATTTATTAATTTTCTTGTCTTAACATCCCATAAGTGTATAGAATCATCCTTACTACCAGATGCTAAAATATTACCATCAGGAGAGAAACAGACTGAGTTTACATAATTTTTATGACCGTTCAATTTATTTATTAATTTTTTTGTCTTAACATCCCATAAGCGTATAGAGTTATTATTACCACCAGATGCTAAAGTATTTCCATCAGGAGAGAAACAAACTGAATATACCTTTTAAATATGGCCATCTAATTTATTTTTTTATTATCCTGTTTTAACATCCCATAAACGTATAGAGTTATCGTTACCACCAGATGCTAAAGTATTTCCATCAGGAGAGAAACAAACTGTATGTACCTTTTAAGTATGGCCATCTAATTTATTTTTTTATTATCCTGTCTTAACATCCCATAAACGTATAGAATTATCATTACCACCAGATGCTAAAGTATTTCCATCAGGAGAGAAACAAACTGTATATACCTTTTAAGTATGGCCTTCTAATTTATTTTTTTATTATCCTGTCTTAACATCCCATAAACGTATAGAGATATCATTACCACCAGATGCTAAAGTATTTCCATCAGGAGAGAAAAAAACTGCATATACCTTTTAAGTATGACCATCAATTTTATTCAATTCATGAATCTTTATATTTTTCCATTTACAATTGAACAGTTAAGCTCCATTTAAATTCACTCCACTAATGTCCACACCATCAAATTCTGATCCATTAAAGTTGCATCTTACAAAAGTTCCACCAATTAGAGAAGTATCCTTTATCCTTATGTATTCCCAGCTTTGATTACTCAAATCTGCCTTCATTTCGACTAATAAGTTAAGCGAATTTGATCCACATACTATCAATTCCTTATCAATAGAAGTTAAGTGAACTAAGAATTTTAAAAAAGATATGATCTTTTTATTTTCTATTATTTTAGTCATTATATCTTTTTTTAATTCTTAATATTGTTCTTAGGAGAAATCTTTTAAATTAATGTCATTGTCTTTAATTTTTTTGAGTGAATTAAGAATAATCTTAATTTCCCTTCTTAAATTTTCTAACTTTTATTCTTCATCTAAGTTTGATAATTTCTTGAGTTTTATGATACTTGATTGAAAATGTCTTTGATTTAATTCTATCGAAAGATATTCAATAGTATTTGATATGTTTTTTTTTCTAAACATATCTATAATGATAGCGAATATTTCTTCATCCACCTCCAAAACGTTTGCAAAAATTTCAAATAAGGCTTCTTGTTAGCTTTTAGGGGTATTCATAATCTTTTTTTTTTTTAAAATAATGAATTTCTATTACTTTTATATTAAATTTTAGATTAAAAAAAGGAATAATACGAGAATTAGATTTATTTTTAAGTTTAATTTCCCATTTCTTTTAAAGTGGTTTTAGATTTTGGAAAAAGATTATAAGTTGATTTTGATAATTTATAATACTTTAAAATTTCTAATTGAATAGATGAATTTTTCGATCATTAATAAATTTATATAGTTTGGTGCAAACTAAAAAAATGCTTCTTCACCATCTGAACTCACCCATAAATTGTAACAGTACTTGGCTTTATCTGGAAAGTTTAACTTTGACATTATACTAATTGTAATTTATTTTACAACCAAATAAATAAATTATATTAAATATATGTAATATATATATTTATATATTTACCAAAACTCTTATAACCACTATCAATTTTGACTATTTCGTTAATCCATTTTTCTCAAAATTTCTATAAAAGCTAACATCTTAAGGTGTCAGGATTTTCGTTTCTGCTTTTTCCTTGAGAAAATATCCTTTTTCTATAAGTTATGTTTATCTTTTAACTATTTAGGTTATCCTCACAATTTTGTACCGGTTTAGAAAGAGTGGGTTGAGGTTGGGCAGTGTTGAAGAGGTAGGTTTTTTGTGTGAATTATCTAATAAATTTACACACGCTTCAATTTCAGAAAAAGAAGTTATAAGGAGTCCTATTGTATTTCCTTAAGAAAATACTCTTAAGGTTTTTTGATATTCAATTTTTATCCCCTTTAATTATTTTATTTTTCAATGTTATTATTTAATTTACCAAAAAATAAACCAAATCAGACAGGCAGAAAATTTGCAATTGTTAACATAGTACTTTGAATTTTTAGTAAAACCAGTATTTCTCAAATTCATTGAAAACTCTGAAGTATGGAAGCTAGAAAGATCATTAATAATATGACGGTATAAAAAAGATTGTATTGATGAGCCTTACAAATCTTTGGGTAGAGGCTTAATAACTTATAAAAATTATTGAAAGGGACTTGTAAATCAGATTATGATTGATTTCTTGCATTTTTGTAAATAAATTATTAATTTACCCAAAGTTTCCATTATTTTTTTTTGTATAATTATTTTGTATGTTTCGAAATAAGTAAAAGGTGAGGAACAGATTAAGGTTTAGGAAGGCATACAAAACATATTATTTTTTTAAAAGTTAGATTTAAAAATGCTAAAATATAATTTTGTATTTTTAAGTAGGAATTATAAAGGCAAATGTAGATTTAGAATAATTAATATTTCCACTTACAATTCATTTTTTGAGAGATCCAGCTTTCCGCTTAAACATTTTATAGTTTATTCAATTTTAAATAAAGTCTTTATAATGTTATGTTATTTAAGTAAGTGTAACATATTATCTTTCATGGAGGAAATATGCAATAATTATTTTCCGCCACAAATAAAGTAGTTTTATAAGGTTTTTAAAATTTCACCTATTTAACATCACTTTATACTTAGGAAATAACATTCTTAAAGTGTATACTTCTTAGTAGGAGTAATGCTTGTTTCTTTTTTCATTACATTATAAATTTGAGAATTTTTCTAATAGATAAATAATGGTTACTCAGTCTTCTAACCATATTTCAAATATTTGTTTTGACTTAGCATTGAAGATAATAATATGTTTATTAAAGTATAATGCTATATTAAATCATTTTAGGATAAAGGTTTCCATTAATTAAAATTTTAATGCATGCATGTTAATATTTTGAGCCTACTTTTTATCATAGAAATATCTCATAACTCATAAATTAAACACTTTCTTATATTACTGATAATCATATATATGCTACATATCCTTACAAATCTGGATTATTAATTTACAAATTAGTCAAATAAGCATTTTTTAATATTTAATAAAGGAAAAAATTATAAGATTGTTCTAATTTAAAATAAATAATATAAATAAAAGTTTACTAAAAATAATTAAAGTTCTTAGATTATTCTATTCTTTTAACAGATAATTTATCTGATGAATATGAATTTAATAATTTTAATCTATCTATTTAAAATGAAATAATTTTGAGGATATGTTTGAGAATTAAATTTATCATCTAAAAAGATTTCAATAAAAATATATAATCACTCTTCTAAAGAATTGGATTTAATATAATATAAAATCCTCTAAATGCATTTTAAATTATTATAACACTCTTACAAAAATTAATTTAAGTGATTATTACAACTATTTATTTATTTAATGATGTAAATATTTATTTTAACTTTGCCATATTTAAAAAGACTTCTGATATTCCATTTATTTATTTATATCATTCTTATAGTGATCTAAAAAATAAATAAAGATCAAAAAAAAAGAATTATTTAGTAAAGAATTATAAAAATTAAAGTAGAAAGACCTAATAATTGGAGACTATATTATTTTTTTTTAAATCAAATATTTATGTTGTGATTAAAATTCCTTTGATTTTTGATTTTGTTTGTAGTAATAACAATTAAAATAGATATTATATCAAATATTGTTATATTAGTTAGATTAAAAATAGAGGAGGTTTATAATAATGTATTAAATGATATTTAAATAAACTCCAAACTCTAATGTATTTTAAGATGCATCCAAATTAATTATTCCCACATTTACTTGAAAATATATGCAGGAATTTAAATTTTACTTTTAATGTCTACAATAATTCGATTTTAAGGAAATTGAAGTCCTTATCTTAAATGATATGAATTAGTAATGATAAGAGTAAACCATATAATCAATATACTATTTCAATTTATAATCTTAATTTTTATTATTAGATCTTGTATTTATTATAAGTATAAGTGTAATGTCTTCACAATTTAAGGTAAACTTTTATATTCTGATAATTTCTTTATGATTTTCTTGGTTTATTACGTTTTGCATTAAAATATGGAATGCTAATGATCTTGGAGTTATAGTATTAGAAAATAACTCTTAAAATAAATAAGTTATGCTTTTGAAACTGGATATGTATTTAAGATCTTTAAGATTAAGCTTTAATATTTGATAGTATTAGTTATATTCTTTAAAATGATATCAAATATTTATTTCTTTGATGACAAAATAATTACATAAAACTAAATTAGAAGTTGAATAAAGGATGATAGAAAAGTAAAAAAAAAATAAGAATAAGAAGAGAAATAAAAATTAAAAAAAAATGAATTTTACTCTATATTTATAGATTTATTTTATTGTAATATAATTTTTTGGATTCTCTTCTCTAAAGAGTTTTAAATTATTTTGAATTGTTTTAAATAATAAATGATAATAAGTAAAATTAACTAAATAGTACTAATGTATTTATATATTTATCAATTATTAAATATTATTTTGATATTTAATAGCAAAGATATCAATATAACAAGAACCACATCTAAAATTAAAAACCAATTAAGATACAACTTATTATTGATAAAACAAATAAGCCCAGAAAATTAAGCAATATTATGTCCTACATAATTTAATATTGATTACAAAAAATTCTGGGAATAAATAACAAGTTGTATAAATCAAGGATATTTCAGTTTTTAAATATATCAATTAATCAGCAATAATTTAAGTCCTCTTAAGAGATACATGTGTTGCTCCAATACAACTGAGTATACTTCCTGCTATCCAAGTTTTAAAACTTAAAGTCAAAAAGGCTTTATGAACAATAGTAATTTTAACACTGTAAATATTATTGATAATATGAAACTTGGTTCAGATGACATTAAATTTAACATAACCTAATTTATTTATAGAAGAGATGAACATTGATAATATGCAATTGTAATTGGTATCAAAGACATCTATCTAATATAATTGAATTTCCAGGTGACACATAATTTGAGTAAGAATTGTCATAAATCTCAGAAGAAATCTTAAGAGTTCATGAAGGTTGTTATATAGTTGAAAAAATTTTAATTTAGATTATTACTTGCAACTGTCCTATTCAGGGCAGCGTTGGTATCTTGGATGAGTCAGAAGTTTACAGATTTTTGTGAGTGTCTTTTCTTTTATCATCTTAGAGTCTAGCCTGGTTATTGATCAGTCTAATCCTCCGCCTACTCTTGTAGTATGTCTGATTAGATTTCACTTTCCCAGGTTATGCTATTAATAAAAATAACTCTTTATGTTCTGGGTTATTGACTCCTAACACCAATCTTTAATAAACAAAATTTTATATATAGTTTAGTAATTAAATTTAATAAGTAAAAGTACAATATTACCAAGTTACAGCTAAGTTTAAATAATATTTGCATATCATAATCTATGTAACTAAAAAAATTAAAAGCTGATTAATATTATG